ACCCTTGGATCTGAGAACAATGAAAAAGCATTCCGTTTTCTTACAAGAAAACTTTTAATAGAAGTAAAGGAATCACCTCTGTAAAATCAGGATGGTAGATACCTTACAGGGTAATTAGATTCAAAACATAGAGAATCCCTCTAGGCAAAACCTTAAGATACAAAAAAGACACACAGACAGGAATAGTCATTCTATTCAGCACAGTTCTTTTCTCAGCCATTTAAAGAAATCATAATCTAACACATACCTAGCTAGATTACTTACTAAAGTTCTAAGACTCCATTCCTGGTCTATCCCCGGCAAAAGCAGCATACAGACAGACACAGACCCCTTGTTTCTCTCCCTCCTCCCAGCTTTTGAAAGTATCTTGTCTCCTCATTGGTCATTTTGGTCAGGTGCCAGCGAGGTTACCTTTAGCTTCTTAACCCTTATCAGGTGAGAGGATTTTTCCTCTGGCCAGGAGGGATTTTAAAGGGGTTTACCCTTCCCTTTATATTTATGACAAGGTCATTCAGATATACTCTTCTACAGTTGTAGGACATTGGCGGTTATGATGTGTAATGGGGATTTTTAAGGCTAATGTGTAAAGAAGCTTCTTAGACCAAATAGGAAAGTAGAATTTTTACAAAGCTATTAAAAGGCATGACCCTACAATCATAGCTAAATAACAGATCCTTTAATGGTCCTCTCGATGACAGATTTAATTTGTATTTATGATTATTTACTCAGCTAGAATTCTTGGTCAGGCTCCAAGCTGTTTCTTTTTCCATTCGTCCTCCTTCTATCTCCCTGATTTCAAATATGATGCTTCTTTAACTGCAACTGAAACTTTAAGATTGATCTGTGGAAACCAAAAGTCACACTACTAAATACCATCAGGCCAATAGAGGAAACGTATAATCTGCTACATCAGGCAAGATTTGCCTTAATCTAAATCTGAGGGAAATCCGCTTTGGAGGGTGCGCTGAGGTAAGGAGCACCGCACAGTCTATAAAGTGTGGACCAAAGCAGGGTGCACACTGTCCCTGATTATAATATAATAGGAAATGTAAAAGGAGGTCAGTTCTAATTTACATAAGGGACCATCTTATTTGTGGTAAGTGTAAAATCTTAATACAGAAAGTCACTTTTTCTCAGGGGAAAATGACCTGTCTGTTTGGTGGAGTGGGGGACAGTGGGCAGCTAACCAGAGCATTTTTCTTTGATTTCGTAAGGCACCAACAGCAGTGAGCAAAAGCAGTTACTATATGAATTAGCCTTTCAAAACCGCAAATGTAGGTCACAGTAAATGTAGGGCAGCGTAAGGCCTTGTTGAATTGTTGGCTCGGTGCTTCCATGATGGGAACACTGATTAATCCTAGGACCTGGGAGGTTGGGATACTTGTGAGGGTCTGTGGCACAAACCTCTCAACTATCGCTCAGAAACGGCATGGAGGCACACCCAAGATACTGGAGTTATGACAGGGCACTTTAGCTGGGCACTTTGAATGTATTTAGGGCCATACCAAATTCATGGTCCATTTTGGTCAATTTCGCGGTCATGGGATTTTAAAAATCATAAATTTCATGATTTCAGGAATTTAAATCTGAAATTTCATGGTGTTGTAATTGTAGGGATTGGACCCAAAAAGGAGATGGGGGGGGTCACAAGGTTTTGTAGGGGGGGTTGCGGTACTGCTACCCTTACTTCTGCACTGCTGCTGGTGACAGCGCTGTCTCCAGAGCTGGGCAGCCGGAGAGCAGCGGCTGCTGGCTGGGAGCCCAGCTCTGAAGGCAGAGCCACCTTCAGCAGCAGCGCAGAAGTAAGGATGGCCTGGTATGGTATTGCCACCCTTACTTCTGCACTGCTGCCTGCAGCGCCGGGCCCTTAGCCAGCAGTCGCCCAGCACAGAAGTAAGAGTGGCAATACTGCGACCCCCCCCCTAAAATAACCTTGTGACCCCCCTGCAACTCCCTTTTTGGTCAAGACTCCCCCAATTTGAGAAACGCTGGTCTCCCCAGTGAAATATGTTTAGTATAAGGTAAAAGCACATGAAAGACCAGATTTCACGGGGGGAGGAGACCAGATTTCGTGGTCTGTGATGTGTTTTTCATGGCCGTGAATTTGGTAGGGCCCTAGATATATTAGATGGACAAGTTGCACCATCTGGTAAATCAGCATTACAATTGGCCCTGGTACCCCGATGGCTTATTCCCATGGTAGCTCAATTACACTGGGAAAGCAAAGGCAGTATTCTGACCATAGCTATGACTGTAGGCAGGGTTTCTGTTCAAAGCTGAATTTTATATCATCTCTGAAATCCACATAAATGGTCAGAACTGGAACAGGGCAGGAAACTGTTTCCTATCCCACAAGAGTTTTTGAGGTTTCAACATTTTCTCCCATCCCAATTTAGGATGAAAAGTTGAAATCTTGAAAATTTTCATGAACCAATAATCTGATCTGAAATTTTCCAGGAGTCAGTTGAAATGTTCTGTTTTGATTTTATAGAATTTCACTTTATTTATTATGAATTAACTATACTTTCAAAATGAAGTCATTTTGAACCAGAAAAGGAAACTTTTTGTTTCAAAAATGTTGAAAAGTCTTGTTTTGACCATTTGAAAACTTTTTTTTCACAATCAAGATTAATAAAAACCAACCCTTTCCTGCAAACAGTTTTGGGTTTCACCAATCTGCTATTTCCAATTGGAAAAAAATAACATTTTGTCAGAAGATTCCTAACTGTCTCCTGTCAGAACCGGTTGAAAATCACTGTGCTAGTCCAGAGACAGAATTTGTGGTGCAAATTTGAGCTCATTTGAAGAAGTGGTTCTCAAGATACAGCACAGTGGTCACCAACCAGTCGATCATGATCAACAGGATGATCCTAAAAAGAAAAGGAGTACTTGTGGCACCTTAGAGACTAACCAATTTATTTGAGCATGAGCTTTCGTGAGCCACAGCTGTGGCTCACGAAAGGTCATGCTCAAATAAATTGGTTAGTCTCTAAGGTGCCACAAGTACTCCTTTTCTTTTTGCGAATACAGACTAACACGGCTGTTCCTCTGAAACCTGTCAGGATGATCCTAGAGGATCTCCCAGTCAATCACGATCTCCAGCATAGTGTGGCAAACGGTCTGCCTACCACGGCCCCACACCACTCCCAGAAGCGGCCAGCGCAGCCCTCTGGCCCCTGGAGGATGCATGGGTCTCCCTCCGTGCGCTGCTCCTGCCTGCAAACACCGCCCCCGCAGTTCCCATTGGCTGGGAGAGCTGTGGGGGCAGTGTTTGCAGAGAGGGGCAGCGTGCAGAGGCACATGCCCCCCGCCCCTCCCGCAGCCCCTTCCAGGAGTGGTGTGGGGCCGGGGTTGACAGGGAGCCTGCCTTAGCCTCGCTGCACCCGCCACCAACCGGGACCCACCGGAGGTAAGTGCTGCCCGGCAGGAGGTCCTGTACCCCAATCCCATACCCCAGGCTCAGCCCAGAGCCCCCTCCCACACTGTGAACCCCTTGGCCCCAGCCCAGAGCCCGCACTCCCTCCCGAACATCAAACCCCTGCCCCAGCCCGGTGAAAGTGAATGAGGGTAGAGGAGAGTGATCGACAGAGAGAAGGGGGGATGGAGTGAGCGGGTCCGGGCTTTGGGGTAGGGGAAGGGACAGGGTAGATCCTGGGTTGCCCTTAGATTCAAAAACTGATCTTGGGTGTAAAAAGATTGGAGGCCACTGATATAGCACATGCACCCTTCCATTTTCTGCCCCCAAGTGGCCTATTTTTAAGATATCAAGTCTTATGACCTTATTTTATGTAGAGATAGGGGAGAGAAGGAAGTGGTGGAGCATCACTGGAATGTCCCCAGTGAGCTCTACTGTCCAGCACAAAGAAAAAGCTCCAAAACTTAATAAAAGGTTATTGGACTTTATTTTTGGTTCTATGGAGTTATGCACCAGACTTCTGTGAACCCTGTCTAGATTGCCAGCCCTGTCTGTAGACTTCAGAAACACAGCCAGCTCCCTTCCTCTCTGAACCAAAACACAGGCAGATGAGCAAAGTGTTGCTGGTTTGCCAGAGCTCAGTTTGAACCCAGGGCCTCCATTTTAACAGCAATGACCTCGACTCCAGGAACCAGATTAGTAACTCCTTCATCTGGTCTTAGTAATAGTCTCCTATCTGGACCAGCCAATAGAAGGGAACACATAACATTTACTGAGCCAGCCATTTGCATTCATTCACCTCCATAAAAATATCTTTTGGCAGAGGGGAAAGCAAATATCATTCATCTCCTATAACAGATGGAGAAATTGAGGACAACAGAGGTTCTACAAAGCCACCTCTGGTACAGCCAAGGTCTCTCAAATAGCAGGCTCAGCTTATCCACTGAGCCACACTACCTCTCAGAAAAAATGAGCCAAACCTTTGTGCTTGGCTAGAGCAGAACCAAACACATGAATTTTTTATTTTTATTTTTTGTGGTGGTGGAGCTGGTGGGGAGATTTGGAAAGGGACCCTGCATGCAAACACAGTGATAATGTCAGATATTTGCATAATAAATGCAATTTCAATATCATTGAAGAAAATAATTGACATTTTAAACTTTTATAATGCTGCTAAACTTTTGGTGGAATTGAATTTTACCAAGAGTTTGCATGCGTAGCTGGGGACTGTGCTAGCTAATGCATCACTAAACAATGCTGTAAAAGCAGCAAAGAGTCCTGTGGCACCTTATAGACAGACGTATTGGAGCATAAGCTTTCGTGGGTGAATACCCACTTTGTCGGATGCAAACTATGCTGGTGCAGCACATCTGTACTAGGTGGCTCCATTGTAGTAAATAACAAAGCTCCCAGTTATTCTTTCTTTTGCCTAAAAGTATTCTAGTTGCTGACTTCCCCACTGCAGGTAAGAGTCTTGAAACTATAGACAGCTGAGTATGCTGACCAATTTGCGTAACTTCTTCCTCATTTCATTCATCTGTCTGTGTGGTTTATGTCAACAGAATTCTTTTCTTTGTCCCACTAGGTGGCTGGATGAATCTATCATTCAAGAGATCACACCCAAACTGATTGGGGACTGGCCGAACACGTATACATACACCAAAGCCTTGGCAGAGTACCTGGTCCAGCAAGAGAAAGAGCACTTCAACATTGCCATCATCAGGCCATCCATCGTAGGAGCCAGCTGGCATGAGCCTTTCCCAGTAAGCCTGATTACACTCCTTCTTTTAACCGTTTCCCAGATCTGCTCTCCAGATCCAGCTGAGGCTCCTGCTCTACATCCAGCCTTACTGCCGAGGGGCAACACCATGTTACAAAGATGCCTGCTGATCATCTTAGAAGTGCACTCTCGTTCTTCAGGGTCTCCAGGGAGGGCAGTGGGAGATGGGAGTAGGCAGTGTCTGGTGCAGAACTGCAAGACTTGCTCGACATCTCCAGGAAAGATTCACACTTGCAAGGTGAAAAAGGCAATTTAAAATAAAAAACAAATTAATTGGATTTACTGTTGGTGGGAAATGCTGGACTTGCAATACTGGAGACTGAAGTCCTATATCCAGAGAGCTTCTACACACTGCCACGCCAGCATATCTCAGCATTGAGCTGGGGGAACACTCCTAGGGCTCATAGGACTGGTCAGGCTCTCCATCCTGATCTTTATGCTAAGGCAGTCTGCTAGGTGTGCCAGGTAGGGCCATTTATGAGGGTTTTTTGGATGACATAACATGACATTCAACAACTCACCAAGCTGAGATGCTCCATATGCACACTTATGGGGAGTGTTGCAAATATTAGGAGTATCACACATGGAATTGAAGGCAGCTACATTTCTACATTGAAATAAATATTCTAGGCCAAATTTACTACTGGCATTAGTAGGTGCAACATGTCCTAGGCTTGCACCTGGGTCATAAAGTTGACATAGTCTACCGTACCTGAGTGGGGACCAGGCAAAGCTCAGACATCACCTAGGATCTGAGCCAAAATATCCATCTTGGAAGGACAGAGTGGAGCATAATAATGTCATTCCAAATATTGTTGGAATGATTAACATAATTAACAATAATTAACATTCCCACAAGATGTGATTTTCCTTACTGCAAGAGAGTGCTGTTCAAGAGTCCTGATGTTCTTTACTGTCTTTGAAAATCAAATAAATTACCTCCAATCTGACCGTTAGGTGTGCCACACTGATCATTATAAACCAGGGGTGATTGCATCAACACCAAGATTACATGGCATTTGGAAAGTCAGATCTGGTTCATGCAGTCAAATTATCACCCTAATGTGGTGATCTTTAAAACAAAATTTGACTATATTTGACTATATTGTAAAATACAGACAACATTGGCTGTTTACCATGTATCCTTTATTTAAAATCAATACTTTGCGCTATCTTTGCTCTCTGGCAGTCGTCCAAGCTAAATTGGCATCCGTTTTAACAGTGGTCTGATTAAGTGGCTTCATCCATACCACAGCACTGTAATACTTTTTGAAGCCTGTATGAGCTAAACATTGTTGAAAGAAATAATAAAAAATACCTTTCCTTTTTTGCAGGGTTGGATTGACAACTTCAATGGACCAAGTGGAATTATTATTGCGGTACGTATAGTTACTAGTTAAAAAAAAAATTATTTTGCTGAAAACTTGTGTGCAGATAATTCCATAGCATTTCGTAATACAGACACATACCATACATCTTTATCGGCATATGCCTACAGCACCTGACAGTGTTGTCTGTTTATACTGCATCCAAAAAAACTACCTTAAAAGAAAATTAAGGTTGCATAGTCAAGTACTGAAAAGTTAGGAAATAGAAGAATTAATGTTACCTGTACAAGCTTACTTTGTCCCCCTTCTTGTGCATATGCATTATGATACAGTCTTTAATTACATGATCACATACTAATTTTCCACAGGATCCTGGCCTCCTACCAGCAGAAGGTGCATTGAGAGCATAGTCTCCATGCTTTCAGTTCTGGTACCTGGCACAACAGTAGCAGCTATTAAGGAGCATATGCCAAGCTCTTTGGGGATGCCAGCTGCTCATCCTGGTCAGCATGTAGGATCTGTGTGGGCATGGAGCATGCTCGTGGCAGACCGAATCTTGGGGGAATCTAGCTGCCAGCTTGTACTAAAGCTCTGCTGAGCACGTGTGAACTGGGATTTTCAGAGGCTTACAAATTGGCCATATTTGGGCAATTTTCGTGGGGCTAGCAAAAGGCGCACCCCTGATGGTAGGCACAGTTGCCGACTTTCACGTGGTAAATAAGCATCCCGACTTTCACAATAAGCCAAAAATCAAGCTAAGCCCCTGCTTGCTGGGTGCCAATCAAAAAAAAAAACAAGAAGTAACATATAATCTCTCCACATGTAGAAGCCGTTCCATACCCCTAATCATTTTTGTTGCCCTCTTCTGTACCTTTTCCAATTCTAACATACCTTTTTTGAGATGGGGCAACCAGAACTATATGCAGTATTCAAGGTGCAGGCATACCATTAATTTATATAGTGGCATTATAATATTTTCTGATTTATTATCTATCCCTTTCCTAATGGTTCCTAATGTTCTTTTAGCTTTTTTGCCTGCCACTGCACACTGAGCAGATGTTTTCAGAGAGCTATCCACAATGACTCCAATACCTCCTTCTTGAAAGGTAACAGCTAATTTAGACCCCATCACTTTGTATGTGTAGTTGAAATTTATTTTTCCAGTGTGCATTACTTCGCACTTATCAATATTGAATTTCATCTGCCTTTTTGTTGTCCCGTCACCCAGTTTAGTGAGATCCCTTTGTAGCTCTTCTCAGTGAGCTTTGGACTTAACTATCTTGAGTAACTTTGTATCGTCTGCAAATTTTGTCGTCTCACTTCTCACCCCCTTTTCCAAGACATTTATGAATATGCTGAACAGCACAGGTCCCAGTACAGTTCCTTGGAGGACCCAGCTATTTACCTCTCTCCATTGTGAAAACTGACCATTTATTCCTGACCTTTGTTTCCTATCTTTTAAACAGTTATTGATCCATGAGAGGCCCTTCTCTCTTGTTCCATGACTGCTTAGTTTGCTTAATTGACTTTGGTGAGGGACCTCGTCAAAAGCTTTCTGAAAGTCAAAGTACAGTATATCCACTGGATCTCCCTTGTCCACAATAGATTGGCAAGGCATAATTTCCCTTTACAAAAGCTGTGTTAACTCATCTCCCACAAATCATGTTCATTTATGTGTCTGATAATTCTGTAACTTACTATAGTTTCAGCCAATTTCTTCGGTACTGAAGTTAGGCTTACCAGCCTATAATCGCCTCTGGAGCCTTTTTTAAAAATCAGCATTACATGAGCTACCCTCTAGTCATCTGGTAAAGAGGCTGACTTCAGTGTTAGATTACATATTATCGTTAGGAGTTCTGCAATTTCATATTTAGTTCCTTCAGAACTCTTGGGTGAATACCATCAGGTCTGGTGATTTATTACTGTTTAATTATCAGTTTGTTCCAAAATTTCCTCTACTGACACCTCAGTCTGGGGAAGTTCTTCAGGTTTTCCACCTAAAAAAAGGGCTCAGGCATGGGGATTTCCGCCACATCCTCTGCAGTGAAAACTGATACAAATAATTCATTTAGCTTCTCCACAACAGCTTGTCTTATTTGAGTGCTCCTTAAGTATTTTGATGGTCCAGTGGCTCCACTGACTGTTTGGCAGGCTTCCTGCTTCTGATGTACTTTAAAAAAAATAGTTGTTCATTTTTGTGTCTTTATCTAGTTGTTTTTCAAATTCTTTCTTGGCATGCTTTAATTACACTTTTATATGTGACTTGCCAGCATTTGTTCTCCTTTCTGTTTTCCGCAGAAAGATTTTACTTCCAATTTTTAAACGATGCCTTTGTGCCTCTAACCACCTCTTTCATTCTGCTGTTGAGTCATGGTGGTATTTTTTGGTTCCCTTCATGTTTTTTTGTTTTTGATGGGAGGTGTACATTTAATTTGAGCCTCTATTACGGTGTTTTTAAATAGTCTCCATGCAGCTTGCAGGCATTTCACCCTTTAATTTCTGTTTAACTCACATCCTCATTTTTGTGTAGTCCCCCAGCCTTTTGAAGTAAACAAGATTCCCTCAGAAAAACGTGCCATTACTAAGAGTGCTGGGCGGAAAAACATACAGTGCAGTGTGCAGTTAGATCATCCCAGAGAAGCCAGCAAGCAAAACTTTTAAAAAGAGAATGCAAATTGTTCAAGAGCACTTGGCGCCCAAGCCCCTCATTATGGCTGAAAGGTTTGGGCATGGGCAGCAGGTAGGGGAGGCTGGGGGAGGCTGTGCCTCCCCAGACAGCCAGCCGTGGTCCTGGCCATACTCCACCTCCAGGGCCCCATTTCAGTGGTGCCACTGGGCTCCAGGGGCTGGGGCCATGCCGCCCACCTTCCTGGCGTTCCGGGGCTGGGGAGTGTGGAGCGGCACCATGCGCTCTCCCTCCCAGCGCTCCGGGACTGCGGGGGGCTGCAGGCACTAGCCAGCCTGGGGAGGGGGCCAGCGGCCGTGGTGGGCTCTGGGTTCTGGGGGCGGGGAAGGGGCGGGGCCGGCCTCAGGTGTAAGGGGCAGGGCTATGTACTAGCCTCCTCCAGCCAGCGGTTCACATGCTGCCCATAGGTTTGGGTTTCATAAGCGGAATCAACCTGAAGGTGAATCTATTTCCTCCTTTGGGACAGAGTTAAAAAGATTATCAAAACACTGTCTTTTTAAGGATGGTCTTAACAAGGCCTTGAGAGACAGATTTGTGTGTGGAGTTCTTAATGGAAGCATACAAAAAAGGCTCTTAACTGAGGAAAATCTACCTTTAAATGTACAGTAGAAATTGGAGTAGCAATGAAAACTGCAGCAACGGATGCAATAGAATTGCATGCTGAGCTAAAACTGAAGTAGGAATGCATACACTCTCTGATCCAAAGCAAGAGCTGGTACACTCAGCAGACAGACATGTTATTAGTGTACAAAAGGGCTCCACGTGCCTTCTGATTGCCAATTTAAAGATGCATATTGCAGAAGCATATTGTCGCACTAAGAGAAATAAGAAAGAGACCAAATCAGGGTACAGAAAAAGCAGTATCAGTGTACACTCTATACACAGAAGCAACAGTAACAGTGACTGAGAAAGTGGAGTAGCCAGCCCGGATATATAGAGTGTGAGCAAAAAGGGCAAGTCAGCAATCTAGTTGACACCCCAGGTGGCAGGAAAAATACTGAGAATGAAATTGGATGCAGGCTTTGCAGCGTCTGTTAGGTCACGTTCAAAATATGAGAAAACTTTTAAAAATACCAAATTGAGGGAGACACCAGTGTTGCTAAAAACATCTATGGGAGAAAAGATAGTGCCAAGTGGAGTGATGCAAGCGAATGTGGAGTATAACAATAAGCAATGTTTATTAGACTTGCATGTGATTGAGAAGGGGGGACCCAGCCCTGTGAGGCCATGAATGGTTACGTAAGATTCCTCTGGATTGGAAATCTATAAAGATATTGCAGTCACTTTCAGCAGAACCCACTAAAACAATTGAACAACAGCTGGAAGCGGTATTTTGTCAGGCATCAGGAGTATTCAAGGAGGGCATAGGAACTCTAAAACACACAAAGGCTAAAATAATCCTAATTGAGAAGGCACAGCCCAAGCTTCACAAAGCTCAGCCTGTCTCTTACAGTATCTGCGTGAATTGGAATGTCTGGAAAGATGGGGCATGCTCTCAAAAAGTGACCTCGGGGAGGGGGGAATTCCTGGGGTTCCAGTTGCAAAAAGCAGTAAGGAAATGTGGTGCTTTTAAAGTCACCATAAGCCATGTACTAAACATTGACAGATACCCTCTGCATCGGATTGAAGACATTTTTGCTACGCTGGCGGGGGGGCAACAATTCAACAATATTGATTTGTCATAGACCTACTTACAAATGAAAGTTGAGGAATAATCTAAGTCATCTCTCACAATCCACACACAAAAGGGTCTGTGGCAGTACAACAAGCTAGTGTCTAGTATTGCTGCAGCTCCTGCTATATGGTAATAGGCAACGGACCCAGTTTTCCAAGGTTCTCTGAGAACACGGTGTTATATGGATGACGTTATTGTGACCAGTGGAAGTGATGAAGAACATCTGGAAACCCTGAAATGGGTATTAAATCTCTAGAAGAATATGACTTATGAGCCACTTACATAAAATGTGAAATTTTCAAGGACTCAGTAGTTTTTTGTGGGCATGTTATTGGTGCAAAAGGCCTGCACAAATCTCAGGAGAAGATTAAAGCCATCCTGGAAGCTCCACCACCAAAGGATGTGTCATAATTTAGATATTTCTAGGATTTATCAACTACTATAGCCAATTTTTACCAAATATAGCCACAGTATTGCATCCATTGAACTGTTTACTGCAGACTAAACAAAAGTGGGTATGGTCACATGAGTGTCAAAAAGCTTTTCTCAAAGCAAATCCATTGGTCACATCAGACAGTGTAGTTACACACTTTAACCCATCCTTACCTATCAAGTTAACGTGATTCTTCCTCATAGGAAATTGAGGCATCTATATTCTACACCATGCCAGATGGCAGTGACAGACCCCCA